TGTTAGTTTTAATAGTCGCTAAAACCATCTGCAATTTACAGAGAAGGTAACTAAATTTCAGCATCCGGAAGTAACTTCCTGAAGGCCATGTAGTTAGTAAATGGCAGATGCCAAGATTCAATCCAGCCTTTCTGTGGATTTTTTCAAAATACTAGGCTACTTCTTCAAGCAGTGAACACAAACTGTGTCATTTGTGATGCAGTCACTGTGCTTGCTAAAGGATCCTGGCAGGTGAGCTCACTTTCTGCAGGGCTGACTAGGGAGGCTGGAACTTGAAGGAGGGATCACAGTCAGAGAAAGAAAAGGGAATGACATGAACAAAAATGTGAAAATAAACAAAAGTATGACCTAGAAGTACTGTCTGCTGGCTACTTTACCCTATTTCTTGTTGAGTACAATACAGTTTGGATAGAAAAAAGAAGGAAATCAGTCATAAGAGATAGATGAGAGCCACGACATGGAGACTGTTAATTCTAGTCTTAGAAATTTGGACTTGAGTCTGGCATGGTGGGTCACGCACAAAATCCCTGCTCCTTGGGAGGCTGAGAAGAAAGGATTGTTTAAGGCCAGGAGTTCGAGACTAGCCTGAGCAACATAGGAAGACCCTTTCTCTAAAAAAATTAAAAAATCAGCCGTGCATGGTGGCACATGTTCGTAGTCCCAGCTACTCAAGAGGCTGAGGTGGGAGGGTCATTTGAGCCCAGGAGATCAAGATTGTGGTGAGCTATGATCACAGCACTGCACACCAGCCTGGGTGACAAAGCAAGATCCTGTCTCCATTAAAAATAAAATAAATAAAAGAAAAACGGCTAAAAAAAGGAATTTTTGTTTAATTTGGTAGATACCAGAGAGTCAATAAAAAAATTTCAACAAGATTTTGCTTTAGGAAGAATCTTCTTGTGGCATGTCTTAGGTAGTTTTCCCTAGAATGAGATGCTGAGAAGTGAGTTCTTGAGTTCTCTCAAGTGAAACCTATAAAAGAATGAGGCAACCAGGAGAAGACAAGAAAAGAAGTGCATAAACACCCAACACTCAGCAACTGAAGGATAGGTCACACCGCCCTAGTGGAGGGAAACTGGGCAGGTACCAATCATGTCTACTATGTGGCATTTTGAAGGATGAACTGGAATCATGGGAGCTTGAAGAACCACATACAGATATAAAAGGTACTACCATTTGAACTTGGATAGTGGCTGTGTGGGCAGAATGATGACTTCCCAGAGATGTTCATGTCCTAATACCCGAAACCTGTGAATATGTTCCATTACAAATGAATGAATATTTACATTTCTATATGTAATTAGTTACATAATTACATTTGCATAAATATGCAAAGGGACTTTGCATGATTAAGATTAAAGATCTTGAGATAGAGAGATTATCTGCATTAGCCAGGTGGCCTCAAGCTAACATGATTCCATAAATAGGGAGAGTTGTTCCTGGCTGAAGTTAGAGACAGAAAGATGTTGCTGGTTTTGAAGGCATAACAAGGGGGCCACATACTAGAGGAATACAAGCAGCCCTAGAAGCTGGAAAAGATGAAGAAACAGATTTCCCCTGGAATGGAAAGAAGGCAGCCCTGATTGCACCTTTACTTTGTTTAGCTCAGGGAAACTCATGTTCAACTTTGAAACTACAGAGCTGTAAGATAATAAATTTGTGTTGTTTTAAGGTGTCACAGCAGCAACAGAAAGCCAATACAGTAGTCATATAAGAGAAAGAAAAAGGTTAATGACTAAGGAATTGGTAAGAGTTCCCACAACTTAAAAAAAAAAAAAGAAAAAACTTAAAAAAAGTTAACCTCTGTTTCATTTTATTTCTTTATTTTAAATAGAATTAGTGATTCTTATTACCTTTCTCCGAGTTCACAAAGTAATGTAAAAGGCCATGAAAAAATGATATCAATGAAATTATAACTGAATTAGAAAATGATGGCTAAAAAATTCCATATTTTAAAAAGGTTAAGAAAAACATATATTTAGTGAATCCCCAAAATTGTTAAGAGTAAAAGGAAGAAGCTGTATTTACTACTACATTAAAGACATATGTACCAGGTGAATACTAACTGCAAACCATTCCGATTGGCTGTTTTTCAATGGCTGCCTCCCTGAGATTCATTTTCTTATTCAGGAGAATTCAGGACTGTGAGCTTCATGGTCACCAGAGGGTGCTATGGGACAGGCTCTCCCACTCCTCCAAGGGTGATTGCCAGACAGGCAAAGAATGGTCGCAATGCCTCTGGAAGCCTGTGACTCTTTTCTGTTATCTGGCATTCTACAAAAATCAGATGTGAAAGTGGGGTCGATTTTTTTTTTTGCACTGAAATTTTTTTTTTTAAATGAAAAGTTATTTATGACAAACTTTTGGCATCTTCCTCAATAAAAATTAAAAATAATAAATGTGCAATAAAATTTAGCAGTTTCCACAAAGTCTTCAAAAAATAGGAATATTAGGTAAGTAAATGAAAATCATCAGTGTCATACAATTTAGTTAAATGGATATTCCCCTGAGCTAGTGCTAGGAAGAGAGAGGGTGTGAGGGAGAAGGCTATGTCCTGAGGCTGACACTTAACTGAGTGTCAGGGCATCCATAATTTATCCTGTGAGGGTTATATCTGTTTCAGTTCCAAGAACAGTTAAAATTCTTTAGCTCATCAACAAAAGTGTGGACACCAAAGCCGCTGCAAGTCAGAGCTCAGAAAAAAAAAGAGAAGGACAACAGCCAAGCAGAGTAACAACCCCATACAAGCTAATTTATGACTCAGGCAGCCAAGGTTTTGCAGAATTTATTACAAGGAGCAAATGAACCTAGAAATGGTGATGGTTATATCTTTGTACTTAAAATGAACATAGATCATAACAGCAAGAGGAGGAATTATTACATTTCTGCAAACTGTAAGGAAACTCATGGCATAAGAAGGAGACCAGCTGGGGTGAGACAATGACAGGTACACAGAGGGGGTCTAGAAAAGCAGAACAAAGCTGGGAAGGCATGCCTACCACTTATATACTTGCCACTGTGTATGGTCAACATGGAGTTCTGCCTGGAGTCGGTACAGATGATGATGAAACTAATTCTAAAATATTATGATGGTTTGTTTATTAAAGGAAATAGATATTTAAGAAAATACTCATAAATTATATTTTTTAGTGAGTTAAAAATACATTCTTCTGGTACAAAATTCAAAAGGTGTTATATTATATTTGGAGTAGAATAATAGCTTTATGGTTTTTGCAAAAATAATACAATTATTACATAGTAGCTTACTGTTTTAAAATGTCAGGATTTATATGATGTTATTTTTTGTAGAGGTGGAGCATCCCTAATTTGAAAATCTGAAATGCTCCAAAAGCTGAAACTTTTTGAGCATTTACATGACGTCACAAGTAGAGCATTTTATACTTGACCTCAGGTGATGAGTCACAGTGAAAACTCAGTCAAGACTTTGTTTCATGCACAAAATTACTAAGAATATTGCATAAAATTACCTCCAAGTGATGTGTAAAAGATGTATATGAAACATAAATGAATTTTGTTTTAGACTTTGGTCCTAGCCCCATGATATCTCTTTATATATATATGAGTGTTCCAAAATCCAAAAAGCCACCTGAAATTCAAAACACTTCTTGCCCCAAGTATTTTGGATAAGGTGTATGCAATCTGTACAATACTTTCTATCATATATTATGTATATACCTAGTCTCCAAGCCAAATTTCAATATATTTTCTGTCTCAAAAGATATCTAGAGCAGTGTTCACCAAATATTGATGATGGCTATTTCTACATGCTTCTCTCTTTCCAGCTACACATCTGATGTTAGAGATTTTTTTCAGCCAAAACAACATATCACAACAGATTGAATGCAGAAGCAGATATGAAAATGTAGCAGTTTTTAAATTAAGCCATACATTAAAGAGATTTTCAAAATGTAAACAATGCAACTTTCTTACTAACATTTTGTTTTAGAATATAAAAGTATTTTTCCTAAAAATGTTATTTGTGTTAGGGTAATGGTTTAATCACTACTATTTAAAAAAAAAAAAAAAAAAAAAAAAAACATGTAAATTTCTTATTAGTTTAAATGTTTAGCGTTTAGATATCTAATATCAATATATTATCAACACAAGAATCTAATATTGATAGATATAATCCATATAAATCAAGGCTCTTAGGGGTCCTCTCTAATTTTCAACAATGTAAAGGGTTTTTGAGACTAAAAAAATGAGAATATGAATAGTTATAAATCAAATCTCTCTCATAAGCAACAACTCATATAAACATGTTTAATAGGCAACTCAAAATAAACAATCTAAATGAGAACTCTTGATGTTATCCAAACCTGACAAATTTGATTTTTTCCTAGTTTTCCTAATTGTAGTAAGTGGTACCACAATTGACCTAGTTGCTCATCTCCCAAACCTAGCAGCCCATCATTGACTGATTTGTTCCGCAATTTCCCACATCCAATCCATTAGCAAGTTCCAGTGACACAACTGTAGAAATATATTCCTAATCACACCACTTCTCATCACCATCACAACTACTACCCCACTTCAAAGCACCATCATAGTCTCTTGGCATCTTGGAAAATTAAAATAAACAAACAAAAAGCTTTATTGGTAAGGTTTCCAAAGAGGAGCTATCAAAAAATACAAAGTTTTCCATATCATTATCATTTAGGTACAAATGGAATAAAATAATTTACATAATATAGTGTTATGAGTTTTTATTTTGCAATATAGTGATTCAGTGATTATAGTGATTCCATTTTCTCTAACCAAATTCTAAAGGCCTTGACTCAAAAGAGTAGGTGATACATATTTAATGGAATAGCTTTCATAAAACAATATGTATTTAACTTTCAAAGTTTTAAAATGTTAGCACCAAATAAATGATACTTGAACATTTTATATGTTTCAGAAAATTTATTTATAATGAGACAGTGGAATAAAAGGTAAGTTCTACATTTTCTTTTCACCAGATGTATAGTTCAACTTACCTTATCGAGTTCATCTGAAATTGCAATACCTGGGATTTAAAAGAGATTTATAAAAAAAAGTTTTAGAAGCAATCTTTAGTAACCTAATGTTCAAAACAAACTTTCTATTTGTAAAAGCAGTGCATTTCCTATTCTATTTTTTTCTTTTTATTAGTGCTTCAAAATAATGTGGCACATCCTTTACCAATGAAAACAAACTAGGAATTTAAGTCAACTATAACAGCTATGAACTTCTGAAGCAATGCAAATGATGCAACAAAAACAAAGCAGTGCCATATTCCTTGTAGGTTGTTAAAGGCAGAACAAACATGCAAATATGATTGTAGAGATATCATTTTTAGGTTATGATGACAATAAAGTATAACTTAGCCTGTTACTATTTTGCTCCTTGTTAAGAATTTAGACTCCCAGAATAATTAGATATTAAGGCAGAATGGTGGTCCAAGATGATTTATTCTAATGTCTTTATTTTGTGGATGAGGAAATAGACGAGAAAGTTTAAAGAATTTTCCCACAGTCCCTCAGATTGACAGCTCCTTGAGCCAATGCATAAATGATTCCTCCTCATAAGTTTCTTCCCCACCATCCACATATTTCTCACTGCACATCAGTCTAATTTCTGTCTTTATCCTTTCTCCAAAATTATTGTAAGTCAGCAATGTAAAAAGTTTAGTCCTTAATTTCTCTGTGATGATACACTATCAATTCCTCTTTATTGAAATGCTATCCTCTCTTTTCTGTGCTCCTTTGTCTCCTTCAGAGGAATCCTCTTTTTTGTAGGCATAGGGGTCCTTTCCTGAAATGGCAAGGGCTCTTTGCTGAGCTGTCTTTTCTTCTCATTTGTTATACTTCTCTTGATAATCTACTGCATACCTTTGATATTTTTATTTCTCTATATGGCACAGCTTTACTGCCAGCACAGACTTTCTTCCTGAGCTAATTGCTGAATTCTTGTGGGCATTCCATTCTCAACTTGTCAGACTACAGACATCATCCTCCCAATTCACTCTCCATTTTATTCTTTTGAACAATGGGGCTGAACTTCAGCACTGTGGCAGGGCACTGGAGCAGCTCTCAGATTCAGGGCACAGATCAAAGGGAGGTTGTTGTCAAATCCCAGTAGGGAATGAGCCAAGAGATAAGGAAAGGTCTAAAGTTTGAAGCCCAGGAGAACTTGGAGAAAATAAGAATAGGAATTGAAGCTGAAGTTCAGCAGACTACAAAGCACAAGAAAGAATGAGTTGGGTTGGAAAAGGGAACCTGAAAACAGCCTCAGGATAATGAACCTGAGTAAAAAGAGCATGTTACAGGGTTCAGATCCCCTGCCTGCCTCAGGGATAGACGTGGAGGGTGTAAATGATATTTGATTAGTTCTTATATCATCTCCCACACCACTAACCTAATGAATCAATTATACACAAAGCCAAAAAAGTACACACAACTTCATCTCAGTAAACGGCACCATTGTAGATCCCATTGTAGAATTCACTAGAAACACAGGCACATTTGGGGCTTATTCTTCAATATTCTATAAAATTCTTTTTCTTTTTTTTTTTGGTAGAAGTCATTGGTAACTAAGAATTTTTATGTATCACATATTAGAAGAGAGTCTAACTACCACTTCAGGGATTTTGGGTGACCAAAGCTTAACAATTATTCAAGGACTTGCTGTATTATGAAGGTAGTGCCTTCAAACGGTTAAAGGAGAAAAAGCTTTAAGGAGGGCTAGCACTGGAGCTGGGCTGTATCACTGCTGAGTGAACCGTGATGGAGAACTCAGATATGATGGCACCACAGTCAAGGGGAAGACGTAAGACTAAGAGATCTCAGAGGGCAATTATAAACATTTGTGAAGACCTAACATGAATCATTTGTGGAATGTTTGGGCTTAAAAAATATAGAGAATTACAAATGGTCATTTAGAATAACTCAGATTTTAAGAAAAGATAGGACATTTATGGGATACTAAATGGCTTATGTCACAGTCTATAGATTTAAAATACATTATTACAATTTATAAAAATCCAAACATGTCTTTTAAATGCTTATATTTACATGTAATTTAATTCTATAAAAATGTTCCTTTCCAATATGAATTCAAGATTAAGACTGAATATCTTAAATATAAAATTTTAAAGGGCTTAGTCTATTTTAAAAGAGAGAGCATAGATAATATGAAACAAAATTCTCTTTCTCACCCAAAGTCATAAAGCGTGGATATCTGGAATTAAATAATCCATAATTCAATTATTTGGGATTTTTTACACTCTCTTAATCTCTTGATTTATTTTTATTTTTATTTACTTTTTTATTTATATATTTTTTGAGACAGAGTCTTGTCCTGTTTTCCAGGCTGGAGTGCAATGGTTGGATCTCAGCTCACTGCAACCCCCACCTCCCAGGTTCAAGCGATTCTCTTGCCTCAGCCTCTCGAGTAGCTGGGATTACAGGGGCCTGCCACTATGCCCAGCCAATTTTTGTAGTTTTAGTAGAGATGGGGCTTCACCACGTTGGCCAGGCTGGTTTCAAACTCCTGACTTCGTGATCCACCCGCCTCGGCCTCCCAAAGTGCTGTAATTACAGGGGTGAGTCACCACACTCAGCCCGATGTCTTGATTTTTTTTAACTTCCTGCATCATGGTCTCAGGCCTGCAAAAAGAGTTTTCTCATTTAACTTTTAGAAAGCTACCAGTTGATCTTTAAGTTTCTTTTATGCCTCATATTTATGAATCCATTATTCATAAAGATAGCAGCAATATATCACGTTTCCAGAAAGAAGCAAGAACTGGCAAGTAAGTAAAAAAGCCCTGTGAATAGTCAAAATGTGTGTCACACAGAACTTGCACATTACTCATGGGCTACCTCCTCTCAATTTTAGCAAACATATGAGCTGTTTTTCAGGGCTGGAAAATTTTAGCAGTTGAAAATGGAGATGAAGAGAAACGTTGCTTTGAAGATATATTTCAGTACTAAGAAGTAATGGACCCCAGAATAAAACTAAAACTAGCTAAATGGAAAACTCAGTTTGGAGAAAGAATTTTGCCTTTAATTATGCCAACTCGTTGGTCTGACCATATTTTGTTCAAATTCTTATTATCATATTTTCTTAAAATTTATATATTTTGATGAGTTTGCCTGAGAAATTATCCAAATAAATCTTCACTCTATTATCAGTAATTCTTTCAGCTTTCTATTATCAGTGTCAAGTTGCCTAGGGCATTTTTTTTTTTTTTTTTACTTCTTATTTCATTTGTAATCAAAGCTTAAACAGATTAAAAGCAGTTGAAAGAATTTTAATGAAATGCTTCACAGAGGCATGAAGCTCTAATGGGAACCATTTATACTGAATAGCTAGGATATTTCTCCCAGTGTCTAGCAGAACATCCATAGCTATTCCCTGAGAAGATATTAACAACTTTTAGGCATTTTATTAACTTTTAAAAGGTATTATACTTTAAATTGAGATTCTTTCTTAAGTTTATGAAGGCTGGGGATCTTCAGAAAACAGAAAACATGCAAAAGAAAACGAATTGGGTTGCTAAGATATGTTGTAAGAAAGAAAAGCCCAGGATTTGAGGGTGGGACTCTTAATGAACAATGGAACATATGGTCCTTGTAAAAGTCAAACTAGAGCTTAAAGGAAACATCCTATCAGGGTCATATGGTTTGGATTTGTGTCCCTGACCAAATCTCATGTTGAATTTTAATCCTCAGTGTTAGAGGTGGGGGCTGGTGGGAGGTGACTGGATCACAGGGGTGGATTTCTCATGAATGGTTTACCACCATGTCCTTGTTGCCGCTCTCACGATAGTGAGTTCTCAAATGATGTTGTCCTTTGAAAATGCATAGAAAATGTATAGTACCTTCCCTAACCTTGTTCTTGCTTTTGCTTTCGCCATTTGACTGCGAATTCCTGCTTGGCCTTGCGCCATGATCGTAAGCCCCCAGAGGCCTCCCCAAAGGCAGATGCCGGTGTTATGCTTCCTGTAGAGCTTGCAAAACCGTAAGCCAATTAAACCTCCTTTCTTATAAATTACGCAGACTCAAGTATTTATTTATAGCAATGCAAGAATAGCCCAATACACAAAGTAACCATTGCTTAGGGTAGCAATGGTGTCCAGCTGTAGGAGTGAGCTGCCTGGCAGAGAAGGGGAAAATTAGTTCTTTGAGAAACTGAGCTTCTCTTCTGGATAAAGAAGCAGTGGGCTCCCACAGACATGTCAGAGGTAGACATGAATCAGGTAGAATTTCCTGATTCACCGTGGAGCAAACCTATCTAGATGGCCTCCATTTGTGTTATTTAGTTTATGGGCCTTTCCATTTATTCTCAACTCCAAAGAGGTCTCAATGTACTCAGGCTAAAGCAACTCCATCTTTGATGCTAATCCGCCATGTTGACTTCTGATCAACCCAATTCTGGGAATGCCTCTAAGATTTCCCATTTATCTATTATTCCTTGTTTAAGAGCAGGTACTTACCATAAATCCTGCCATTAGGTCAAAACAACCTTGATGCTATTGTGCTTCAGTTGTCCTACATATCCCTTCTAAATCACGTATGCCCTTTCCCTACGGTATATAAGTCCTGGGTCTGGAAGATAATGGTTCAGGGACTCACCTTGTCTTGCAACCTCCCCAGACACACAGATGGCTTCTGTTCATTAGTCCCTATTAAATGTTTCTTTCTAAATTCAACTTGCAGCCTCTTTCTTCGGCTTTTCAGCTTTCTCAGACTTTAGGGAGTATATTTGCATAAACCAGCACAGCACAAAACACATTAGTATAAGAAACTTATTTCAAAACACAGTTTTCATATTCTCATGTTTGAGTTGCCTTCTATAAGGGAAATAAGAGCTATCGGTTTCTTCAAGACTTCCATCTTTCTAGGCATCTGCTCAGCCACAGAGTTAGAATTAGGTTGTAGTTATAAGAAATGGTAGTAGCAACTTTTCAAAATTCTCTATACCTTAGCGTAATTCATTTCACAGAAGTAGGTTCGAAAATTCATATAGTATAAAATGGTACTATTT